TGAAAAAAAGTCATTGCTGTATTGCTACATAACATATCGCCAACAAAAACTAAAAAAGGACAAAGCCTATCAGCATAGTTAAGCACAGTTAGGAGCTTAGTGCTAAGTCAGAAGTCCCTTGCATATTAAGGTAAACTTTTCACAAAATTTAGATAGGTAGCTGATGAATGTAACTCTGAAGTACATAGAAGTCAATATTCTCACAAGTACATACGTTAAAGGATCTGCCCGCTGCCAGAGTTAGTAATATTCTAATTCCTGCAGTCAAAAAAGGTAAGTTTAGTAATTTCTGTAAGTTAATACCAGGTGAAAGAATTATACCTTCTCTAGAGATTCCAGTGACTATATTTATATGCACAAGTGGGAAAAAACCCCCAATAAAACAACCAGACAAAACAGATAAAACAGATTGTTTAAATAGTTTCACTTAATGCTTTCAGTGAAACTACAGGAGAATGCCTAAGCCTAGAATTGCAAAAGTGTGCAAGATAAGCAAAAGTTTGCATCTGGAGATACTAAGTAGTTACAAGATTAGTACAGCTCAACTTAGGGTAGTTAAAGCAGCCATTTTTGAGAGCTAACTGCCATGTCTAAAATATCTCCATAAATAATCTAAATTAATGGTCTGTCATAATAGCTGCATGAGTTGGTACTGCTGGAGAAACTAACTTCTGATATTGCATGGCTTTAAGGGGGTTTATCTCAAAATTTGATACTTACATTAACTTCTTTAATGGAAAAGGCTCTAGCAGAAAAACAATAAATAAACAAGTGCAGCAACATACCACAAGAATTCAATGTCTGATACAGAAAACCAAGTGCAAAAGAAACTGCACAAATAATGCCTTAAACCAGCAGAAGCTCTTAACAGCAATAGTGTATAGTAGATGTTTGCACAGCTCACGTTCTGCTGTGCAGACTCAGTTTCTGAGCTTTCAAAGTCTTACAGAGTTTACATTTTTTCCTCCAGCTTGGACAGTCAGATACACACTCCTCGTTCCATGCACTAGGATCAACAAATCAAAAGAGGTTCATCTCTTTGAATTAGACTAATGAAAGTATCTGGAACAGATGATAGAATACCCAGGTGCATCTTTTCTATCATTTGTGAATAGAAGAGGACAGATGTTTTTTAGAAAGGTTGACAAGACCGTTCTGTAGGGAAAAGCTGACATTTTGAAAGGTATAAAGCTTAGTATCACTAGAAGAATGAAGTCTACAGAGACCCTGGTTTTTACCACTGAAAGTTTCTGCACATCTTATCTGCTTAGATAATTTTTCTCCCAAGGTTAGAAATAAATTAGAAAAAAAATTCCACTACCTATTGCTAAGAAAGGCCAAGAGCAGAGAGACTAGATCTACCAAATAAATTACCTCCTGATGTAACATCATTGTATATCAGAGTTGAGACTATACTTGGGAGCAAGCTCTAAGACATTCAGAAAACCTAATTCTGCCTTGTTGCAAGAGAGAAACTTCTCTTAGCATTCCCCTAATGTAAATCACTCTGATCTCCACCTTTTCTTTTGCTCCTAACCTGCAGGCTATTCATGAAATAGTCATATTTTTCTGAAGAGAGTGAAACAGAACCTGACTAACACGTATGCAACTATTCCCTGCTGCAACTTCCAACTAATATCCTCACATCTCCTTCCAGAGCTGACCTTCACACAGTTTAGCTGTGCTGCCCCACACATTGCTGCCCCTGCTTACCTCCCTGACAGGAGTGCTGGGCCGAGTCCTGGCTGAGGGCTAAGCCCCTGCAGAGCTCAGGAGAAAGTGCTGCCAGGACATCAGCGTTGTGGAAAGCAACAGCATCTCAGACACACTTCTCTAAGAAGCAAGCTAGCACTTGCATGGAGTTCTGTGTCATACCCTGTATCCCATTTATATGTGCTCAAATGCTCTAATGCTCAAGTCAGTAAAGGCTGACAGATTTCCATGAAAGCAGATTTTTTCTGTGTCCCATGCAAAAGCCTCACAGAGCCACTTAGATACTACTGTGCCTCTGCAAATAAACAGTTTCTCTGGCACATAGCCCAGTCCTATAAACTTTGCGGACACATCAGGTCCTCACAGGCAGTGACCACCAAATGACAGTCACCACTAGTGCCACTGGGACCTTGTGGATTCTATTCCCTTTTATCAGTATAAAAGACTTGGCTCTGCTTTGGCTGTATGCCTGCAGATACTTGAACCCTTACCTGATGCCTTCCTTTGCTCTCCAGCTGCAGCCTATGTGGACTAATTTCCTCTGCTAGAGAAGTGAGGAACATACAATGAGGCTTTTAAAGAAAGGCTGAGAAAGTTCACAGACCTCTTAATCACCCAAATACCTAAACCCAGGTGCTCAAATGTTGCGTTCTTCTTTAACCCAGTTGCTTTAAAAAAAAAAGAATTACAGCTGTTACAACATTTGGATCACCTTTTGATCCTGCAGAATAATGATAATAACAATTGATTATAGAATACAGTATTGCTACAACATATCTGTTATCTTCTATCTGTGTATCTATCAAATGTGGGTGTAGAACTGTTAGTCATATTTTACAAATACTGAGCCAGAAGTTGAATAAGGCTAAGCAAATCTCCCCAGTATTCAGGAATATAAATCATGTTTTCTGATCCATCTACAGCTCTAGCTGCTCTGTACCATCTCCCTAATGACTTCTACAACATAAACTTATACAATGGTATCACAACAGAATCAGGGGGTTTGACCCCTAGTGCCATTAGATTTGGTGATACAGAGGTCATACATCTTGATGCTGTCTCAGTGTGACATAGCACAGGCAAGAAAAGCCAGTGGATCTGCAGTGATTTGTGTCACAGTGGATCACAAACATTACTTGGAAACAGTGAATATAAATTGCCAAGTTACAAAACTAGTTGAAATGATGTGACAGAAATAATGCCAGACAATGAAGCAATTTTCTATCCACATGAAAACAACTTCCAAAATGTGCTAATAAAAAAACCCACTGTAATTTAAACAGCAAAAAAGAAAGATTCCATGGAGGATGAAAATTTCTTCAGGAAAGGTTACTTAAGTCGTAATGCGTACACCATAAAAAACTTTTCCTTGGCATGTTGCTATAATGTCCCTCAATTTATGACATCCCCCCCTCTCTGTTTATCAGATGTCTCTAAATGTATCACAGATGGATCTAAGCATCATACAGCAACCTAAGCACTGGTTTCCAAATACTAGTGTGAGGTAAGGAGATGGATACCAAAACACAGAGAATCTAGGAACTAGATCCACAAGGGAATCTTAGTAGTCCTTATCTCTTACTTCTGAAGTCCAATATTAAGCACCACTGAAACCCTCAGAACAACTGCTACCAAACAGATTGCCTAAAATGCAGGCATAACAATGCCCAGTTGCCTCTGCAGCAAGGCCCAAGTGGCTCATTCAATATGGTGCAAGAAGTTTGTGGTTGAGCAAAAAACTGAATGCAAACCTCCCACTCTCCCTCAGCCTGAGCAATGTTTATCTGAAGATGTTCTACTTTGATCTGCAATCCCCAGAGTCTGATGATACCAGTGTGCACAAGAAAGTCAGGAAAGATTGTGCTCAACATACAGCTTAATCGTCTCCCTCAGGCTCCCTCATACCAATTCAGCTGGCAACCATGGAAGAACCATGAGAATTTTTCATTATAACTAGCATGCATTAAAAGATAAGTAAAATGGTGCCTGAATTTTATATGTGATCCAAATGTTTTGGATGTAGAAATGCTTTAGGAGAAATGGGAACAAAAACCTCTGCCGATATAAATGGGCACAACTACCCTAACCTGAGTTACCAGTGTAAAACCTGCCCTATGAAGAAGGTACATTCTCCTTTACACCACTATTTGGTTGGGTTCCACAATATATATATTTTTATACAATTATATATTTGTTGCAATATAGTTTGGTCCATTTTCTAGAAGTGAGCTTGCACCTAACCAGAAATGGAACATTTCCACACCACAGACTTTGCGTGACTGCAATGTAGTGCATCAACACCTAAATGCTAGCACAAGATTAACTACAGGACTCTACCTGACATCCTCACGCAGTGGAGTGCAACGAGTGTGCTCCTGGCCACTCACACAGCTATTGCTGCGCAGCATTCTTATCCATACCCCTCTGGACCAAACCCTGGCTAAGATAGCAGAATTAGGTTAACAGTAGGGATATAGCCACAGCAGCCAGGCACTCAAAAATCCCTGCAGGTGGCAAGTTGTGCTGACTTTGTGGTGGGGCTGAAGTGAGCCACCTTAACGTCAGATTAAATAGAGCCAAATAGACCTATGCCACGCTGCAGCTCTAACTCCACTGCAGGGCAGACATAACTGAGGTCAATTCTGCTATGAGCATAATCTACAAGCATCAGAGTAAAGAAAAGGAGTTGTTTATAGTACCTCAATAAGAAAAGTCTCAAAAATAAAAGAGAAAAAAAAAAGAGGCAAATTGGTTTAGATGGTGCTTCAGTTACTCAATATGCATCATTCTGAAACGATTCCTGTTCCTGACAGACTGAACAACCTTGAACGACCAAAGTAATTTTCTGTTCCATTGCCTCCTGTCCTTGAAATTAAAATAATTATATTTACTTTCAAATGTAAGGTTGTTTAAGATTGACAAACCGAAAGAGTTCTAGATTGATGGAATATTATTATCAAGATTTAACTATTAATACCTATATTGGTCCAGCTCCAAGGTATTTCACCCTCCTGGATTGTGGCACTTCAGAACATCATACCCACTTAAAATGAACTTTCAGGCATAGGCAACCCCCCTTTCATTCCCTCTCATGAAAGAACTGAGGAAAAAAAATACAGAATGGGGACGGAAAGTTTACTCACAGCTTCTATTGCCAACTAGCAGATAGCAGTCCACATCGGGATAAACAGCAATATGTTGGTAAAATATAAATGTGCTGCCGCTGAGAGCATTTTCTTAAAAAACATACCCAAGAACTTAGCAATGTGTCTATAGTATTTTCTTACCTCAACTAATACAAAGCACGGTGAATTCGTGTAGGTTCGCTGAGACTGATGTCTGCGGTTTGAAATCATGTTCACCTGTGAAGGAAACAAAGTATATTGTGTCCATCTTTAAGAAGCCAGCATTGTTTGGAATTATGTGCCCACAAAAACCTATAAAAGGCCTGCTTAAAATACAGATTGCTGCCAAAATAAGGAATGGTGAGAAATACAACAGCGAAGCGAGCTGCTCATGTGGCCTCCTTTATTCTAGCATGTAAAAACTTCAAGGTAATTTAGATTTTACTATTTTGTTAAATTGGCTCCAGCCATTTTTGTTCCAAATAACAGTATCTACACAAAGATTATTGTTTAAATTATATCCCTGCATACTTCAGCAAAACAAATCCTTTATCTCTTTTCACCAGAGCTTTTCTAATTCTATTGACTTAAAAGAAACTTAAGGATGTTCTTAAAGTTTACACTAGAGGGCTTTGCTGAAGGGCCATTAATTGAAGGTTAAAAGTTTTTGAAACTAGAGTTTTAATCTACCAAGCTTCTACAGAACCATGGGAACACTGGACTAGGAGCTACCAAGCTGTGAAGTTGTGTCTTGCAATCACAATACATTAGATTTCTGGTTCTGAAGGATCCACAGAATATTTTTCTCAACACCACAGCTATAAAAACTTTCCTAGTCCCTTGCAAGAAAATTATGACTGGTTGTTAAAAGTAAAAAAAAAAACCCAAACAAAAAAGCAGTAACTGCCTGGAAGAAAAAAAAATGTACTTCTAATCTCTGCCATAGGAAAAGAAGAGCAGAGAGCAATGCACTGTGGATGTAAGGATCATCCACATAGGCTAGGAATCAGCCTATGACTGGAACAGTAAGTTGACTAAAATCTCCAGAGGAGTTAGCATCTTCAAGAATTAACAAACTTCTAAATGTTCTCCCTTTGTTTCCCCTCCAGCTTTTCTTTATCCTTCTCCTCACTCAGCCTCTCTCATTTAGCACATCCTCCATCATCTTGCCTCTCCTTCTCTCTCTCTTCCATGGCCTCCCAAATCTGTCTTTGATTCCCTTTCTTCCTATGATGCTTAGTAAACTGCAGCTGACTCTTTCTCCCTGCCATGCCCTGCCTGTCCATGTGCATATTTCATACATGGCTTGGGGCTGAACAGTCCAAGAAGCAGCACACTACAAAGAAGAGAAAGCAGATGATTCCAAGCAATATCGGAAAAACAAACTCTGCTGTGAGTGTGTGCAGCCTGGCTCCCAGCAATGCACTGAGCATCTTTGATGTTCTCAGTCCCTCATGAAGGTTGCTGAGGGAGTCTGACTCTGTGCCTCCCTTCCCTTCTGAACAGTTAGTAGAAAGGTGGAAACAGAGTTGTTGATCTGTTCAGTGAGACTTGTGCACACACCAGCTGGGGCCTCCCTGGGATCTATGAACTTTTCAGATGGAATCCTGTCACTCTGGGCATTTTGTCTTTGGTGCTATCAAACACAGCAGTGGTCATCTGGATTCAGCTTGTGCTTACTCAAAGCAATGAAGAAGAAAATGGTTCATAGACACTCAGTATGGCATATGTCCTTGTAATGTCTCTCAGATTGTTAAAAGCTGAACTTATTTATCAAGCAAATAGAAAATGCTGGCTCTGCTCTTGATCAATTTACTTGTGCACGTCCAGGGCCAAACTCAACTGTTCTTACTACATTCAAATTCTCACTGAGGGAAAAGAGTCCCAGAGACTCCTTGACACTCTGTTACAGTTATATAACAAAACCATTAATATTGCATATGGAGATGTGCATGCACAGCTACTGCACATTGGGACTATAGGCTCAGCTCACTAAAGAGACACCAACAGAGTCGTTATTTATTATTTATTGAGTGCTAACAGTACATTGAAGAAAAGAGAACAAGCTCTGAGCATTAAGGACCAATACATGGCCGCTCTTCAGCTGTTACCTCAAGATCAAAAAGGGCCTAAGATTCCTCTTCTCCAGCATAGCATCAAAGGAGAGACATGTTCTTGTTAAAGTTGCATAAGTACTGCAGATGGGTGTCTGCCACTGCCTAATGCTCTCAGTGCACCAAAATGGGGACGAACTGTAGAGCCTGAGGTTTGTCCCAAAATTTCCCTTTCTGTAACATGGAGAGGGACACTGATTGGAGTCTGGAACCACAGGATAAATGCATGCCATATGTGAAATTGCCTTCTCAGAGGTTGCTGCTATGAGTTTGGAGGAAGATGAGTGAGCCTGAATAAGGCATCACGAAGCCATCTGTGAGGGCATGGCTGAAATGCTACAAGCATCCCTATAAATAGCTCCGGGTAAAGAACTGGTTCTGTTTTAGTAATATGAAGTCTTTTCATGTAACCAGTTACTAGGCAGCCTATGAAACAGTTTCTCTGGCAGCACCCCACTGTATGCCAGTCTGCTTCCCTCCCGCTGCTGTTCTGGAGGTATGCCTGACAGCAGCCTACAGGATCGCTCTCCAGACAAGCCTACCCTTGTCACACGTCACCACCAATCTGCCTCACTGCTAGACTAGGGCGTCATATTCACATCTGTGCTTTGTGTTTCCAGAAGAAAGGCTGCAAGCACACACCTCCAGGAGGAGCTCTGGACAACAGCATTTGACTGAGTGGAGATACCCCCCTGCAGCTCTGAACGACGGCAGGTTATGAGCCACAGGTGAATTTCACACTTGACAGCTGTAGGCTGAACATCCCCAATTTATACAGTTATTGCAAACACACTCTCAGTTTTTTTGATCCCATTTGGATCAAAATCCACTCAATTTATAAGAAGCCTCAGCACCTCTCCTCAACATACGAGAATTGCATTCATATTTCTTGGATGATTTTCAAAATCATGTGGGAGTTTGACAGCAAGATCACGGCCAAACCGGCAGAATCTTTTTACCAAAAACAGTAATTGCCCTGCATTTTGCCTGGAAATCAATTCTATAGGCAGTTTCTAGGCATGACTACTGGCCCAGATACTTCACCTTCATAGGAAGACATCCTTTTTGGATGTGACATCAGCAATGAGCCCTGGGAAACTCTAACCAACTTTTAATGTAAAAAAGTAAGATGCTTAGAGTTTAAGCACCTACAACATTGCTCAGAAACAGAAGAGGAAGCACTTGGGATCATAGGTTGAATATGACAGCAAATGATTTACTTAATACCACATTTCTGCCAGAACCACAAAATGAAATCAAATATGCTTAGTTCTGCAAGGGACCCCCCTAATCTTCTCCCTATTTTACTACTTGTATTACCCACAGTAGCCATTTGTACAACTGTCTTCTGGCATGTCCCTTTTTTGGTGAAAGCCCGTGTGAAGCCAATTTGAGAGCCTGGTGCTCCCCGTCTTCCACGGATCTTATCAAGTGCTGAGCAGACCTAATACACTACTGTATCATTACTAGATGTCTGTTCCATCACAGGTTTCCCTGTAACTTAGGATTCTGCTAGAAATACAAATGGCTTATTCTATTTCATTTGTCTCTTTCCATTTACAGGTGAAGTTCACCTACACTAAGGAAAAGTACATATCAATGATTCAGGAGATATAAAGATATGCTCTGAACTAAAAAAAAAAAAAAAACTAGCAAAATGCAAATAAAGCTCACTAGAACTATCTGTAGCACTTATGCTCCCCAGTGTGGTAAAAATGTAGTGGCTTGCCAGAAGGTAAACAGAGAATGTGTCTGGGGAATGTTGAATTTGTCAAGAAAACAGGAAAATAAGGTCACTGTGCTATGAAGAAAACAAATCTTCATGATAGGAAACCATTTTTATGTGCCAAATCTATGTAATCTTCATAGAGATACTGGAGAATGGAAAAGATGATGACATTTTAATGAAGAAAGAGATAAATAAAAACAATAAAGATACTTTTCTCTGAGACATTGACATTTATACCTATCATTTGTATAATTTCTATTTATCATCAGTATCTATTCACAAGGAGGGCAAACGTGCTCCATGAATGTAACACATGAGAGCTTAGAGTGTGTGGGCTAAAGGTTATGGATATACAGCTTGATCAATTTTCCAAGATGAACCATCTGGGGAGTCCCTGGAAGGTCTGGATTCACTACCCAGGTTGATAATCAACACATTGAAACACACAAATTGGTGTGGGCATGGCAGGAGCTGTCTAGGGAAGTCTTCAGGACAGTCCAAAATTCCTACCTAGGCAGTTCCTGTAGCAGTTAGTCAAACACTGAGCTGTGAAAGTGGCTAAGAATTCAGTCAACCACTTTTCTGAAGTTAGTCCATTGTTTCAAATCGTCCACTATTTTGTCTCTGCGGATGGCCAGACTGAGAGTTCCTGTACCACCCAGCAGACTTGTCTTGATGAGCACAAAGGCACAGCCCTGATATCCAGTTATACAAGAATTACAGCTACAGCACAAAATTGAGTTTAGCACTTATACAAATTTCATAGCTTTTGTCACTGCCGAATTTCATTGGGACAAAAAACCCCACTTTTTAAAGTTAACTTTTACAATATTTGATCCTCTATTCATGGAAAATACTGTTAATGAAGATTTCCCTTTTTATTTTTACCTATCTTCCAGCTACCTCTCTGTTCCATGCATATGCACAGAGACAACTGCTTTTTCAAACTCTGCTCTTTCCCTCTGAAGGTCAGGCCACTTCCTCCAAATAACTTTTCACCTCACAAGTGTTTTAATCTATAGTCAGCTCTTTCCTTGTAGCATCTGCTGGGCCGTCAGTGATTGCCAACAGACAGCACATCTAGATCAAGAGTAAATGAAATGTGGAGGAGAAGTTATCAGCAGATTGGAGACAGTGCAATATACACCATCACAGTATTTGCCCCAGTGATTTCCACATACGTTGCACAAAAGTCTCCTGTTTCTTCATTCTTTGCTGGCCTCCTGATGGATGTACATTTGTGATGATATTGAAAACTAAATTGTGTTCTCCTGTCTTGAAATTAAATAAAATGAGTTTTTAAAGGACTGTAAAGCAGAAAGAGTGTTGAGAGACAATCTTATTACCATGAAAGATGAAAGCTAGGAACCAGAGAAACTATATCCCTCTCTTTC